TAAACCAGCAGGAGCGAGCAGCAGCAGCAGCAGCAGCAGCATGTTTCAGAGGATGGCCAGCATCGACGAAGCCATGGAAGATGGGCAAAACCCTCTCTCTCGAAAAAAAGAAGAAAGAGTGCTAACTCATCCGCCTCCTCCTACAACGCTCTGGGTGGGATGACGTGTGACGGTGCGCGCGAACGATGAGGGTGAGCGGGCGGAGCAGCAGAGAAGAAGAACATACCTTTCACCAGGTTCAGCCATGGTGGCTCTCCGCAAATCGCCAGGTCGTGCGTGCTTATGTGTGGCGATCGTGACGAGACTGCTAGCCTGTCGGGTAATGGATGCAATGCTACCAGTAGAGCGCCGGCAAAAAAAAAAAAAGTATCGTCGGCGTTGAGGAGGGGGAAGGAGTGGAAGATTGAGAAAGGAATGGATTGGGGGGGGGAAACAAATATATCGGAGTAGTTAGTTGACGGTACGTCGTAGTATGGTTAGAGGTACTACTACTACGGAGTAGCGATAGTAGTACGAGTACTCGGTAGTATCAGCAGTATTACGAGGTACGAGTACGGAGTAATATCATTAGTGCTCGTAGTAAGTGAGGAGGAAGAAGAAGAGGAAGATTGAACAAGGGGACATGCCCGGTGGGGTCAAGAAGAGGGTCGATCGCAGGTGGCTGACGAATGAAGTGCGAGGGGAAAATCCGTTGCATACTTGCTCGGTACATGCATTGCAGCTAGAACGAGAGAGAGAGAGAGAGGGAGAGAGGGAGAGAGAGTCAGAGTGTGTGAAGAAGCCCGGTCGGTAGCCTGAGAGGTCTTTAGGAGCCGACACTCGAAGAGCGATTGCGAGGATCTGGTCAGTATTACGACTACGAGCATTACGGGAGTATCGTGGCTGTCCGTACTACTAATCCGTAATCTGTAATCTGTAACCTGTACGGAGTAGTCATATCATTATTATTACTTTCCTGCACGAGTCTCGTACCTACCTATAGGTACTATCTATCCCAGGTACTCTCTTATTATAGTACCATTGATCATAGTACCGTACATGTATGTACCGAGATTAAATCTACCCATCTACCACGGGATTGCCTCTGGCCCTCGTACCACGCCGTATCTACTCCGTGCCCTACCGTAGTCAACCACTACCGTAATGCATGTATCCGTTCTCGTACTGCTAGCTGCTAGCAGTAAAATACGGAGTAGTCTCCAGTGGAACGTGATGTGGGGGATCCCGCCGTGCAGCGCAGCGCAACCGAGATGGCCAGCCTGTACAGATTGCAGGTATGTACATCTATCGTGTACCGCCGCACAGCAGTGACGACGGGGTCCGTACATGCACATATGCACCGCTCATATGCACCACTGTCTTACCGTATGGATGGGAACGGTTCAGTTCAGGGAAGCAAGAGATGGTGCGATATTAGATGACATATATAATGGTACCGATACTCTGCATACCACCACCACCACCACCACCACCACTACTACTACCACTACCACTACCACTACTACTACTGCTGCTACTACTGCTACCACTGCTACTACTGGTACCACTGCTACCACTGCTACTACTGCTACCACTGCTACTACTACTGCTACTACCACCACCACCACTACTGCTACTGCTGCTGCTGCTGCTGCTGCTGCTCCTCCCTCGTAAACGGTAGCATCGCCACCTCTCTCTACTATATCCTCCTCGATTAGAGAAGCTTGACCGAATCCATCTAGCCGATGCAGATAGATTTCGACTTTCGTATAACCCCTTAGCCTGTGATGGCACGAGACCTGCTGCAGAGGTGCGGTCGCGACGCTCGTAGCCAGTTCATACCTGCGTCGCAAGCGCTAGAGGGGGCGAGAGGCAGCGGGACGAGAGGCAGCGGGACGAGAGGCAGAGGGAGAGGGCGAGGGCGGAGGTGGCGACAGGCGACATCTACATGTAACTGGTACGATTCCAGGGAGCTGGCCAATAGATGATCTGTCCGCCAGTCTAGCATCGACGTAATTGCCTCCTCCATCGACTCCATCGGACCTGTCGACGGCTCTGCAGCGGCCAGCACTGACTTGATTTCATTCGTCTGCGGCTAGTAACGATGCAGCCGTTCATCTCGTACCGGTACATGTGCGACTGTTGCAGCGTTGCCATGGCTATTCCAACGGGGGGCTCTATGTGCCATCGACATGACGTCGATGCTCCCGACGCTTCCCTCTCCGTCCATCGCGACTCCCATGGGCTAGCAGCACTGCCACAACTCTCTAACGCACAGCGCACAACGCCGCCATGACGCTACGCTTCAAAGCTTTAATATCGAACTCGTCGGCAATCGTCCTTTCGGTCCGAGGTTTCCCACAGCGGGACTGGTTGCTCACGCTATTCAGAGAGGCATTTTTTTTGAGGGGGGTTCCTTTTCTTTTCTCTTTTTCTCTTCTTCTTTCCCCCTTCTAGATGTTGTGTGTTTTACGTGTTGAGGTGCAAGCACATCTCATGGAACTAACAGCAACCGTACGTGTCGAGACTTGCACTATTACAAGTAATAATTGTACGGAGTACCTACCTACTAATACTAAATATCAATACTACATATCGGTACTAATGATATAGGCTCCCCCAGCTGAACTGCGCGTTGGCCCCTCACCAAGCACAATCTGGTTGGTTGCCATATCCACATTCACATGTATTCCATCGGACCAGGCAGCGGTGAAAAAGCACAGACAGAATCAGCGCCGTGTAGTGTAAAAAGTCGTATTGCCTAAGAACAGAGCCCCGGGAAAGGCTATCAGTTCCTAACTGATATCTACTACTACTAGTACCTGATATCCAAACGTCATAGACGAACGTGCTGGTCTGTCCGCCGAACAAGACCAGAAACAATGCCTGAGCTGAACAGGAACAGAGCGTATCCCACACCAGGCATTAGGGTTTGAATCCCAAGACTACAGCAGCACCTGCAGCATCACAGCCGCCACCAGGACTGCCACGCTCACCGTGACACCGCCCGCACCAGCCTCGATCGGCACAGTCGATGTCGGCTCAGCGTTGGAAGCAGAGCCGGTCCACGCTCCGGTGCCGCGAAGGGCAGTGCCCAGGGGCACGCCCGTCGCCTCGCTCTGGGGGTCAGAGTAGGTGGCCTTGCCGAGAGACCCGATCGCGTAGGCTCCGCTGGCGGCCACGGTGGTGTAGACAACCTCGCCAGTCTGAGTGCCGGGACCTCCCGAGCTGCCAGGGTTGGCGTTGCTGCCAGGGTCGGAAGAGCTGCCAGAGCTGCCAGAGCTGCCAGAGCTGCTTCCGGCGTCGAGGTTGCTTCCAGAGTTGGAACCGGAATCGGAAGAGCTATCAGAGTTGGGGTCGAGGTTACTTCCAGGCTTGGAAGAGCTACCGGCGTTCAGAGAGCTGCCAGGGTTGCTGCCAGAATCGCTTCCAGAGTTGGAAGAGCTAGCAGAGTTGCTTCCAGAGCTGAAAGAGCTGCCAGGGTTGGGAGAGCTGTCAAGGTTGGAGTTGGAGTTGCTTCCGAGGTTGGAAGAGCTGCCAGGCTTGCTGCCAGACTTGCTCAAAGCTCCGCCGGTAGACTTGTCTGGCTCGTCCGACTTCGAACCCGAATTCGAACCCGAACCCGAGCCAGAGCCGGAACCAGACCCCGAGCCATTGTGCACAGCAGAGCCCGTGTCGATGGCACCGGCAGCAGTCTTGATCACCGTCATCGTCGTGGCAGCAATAACCTCGTCGCCGGTCTCAGTAACGGGGCAGACGGTCGTAGCGACGGGGAACACCTCGGTGACCGTGTAGGTGTACTGATCAGCCTTGCAGTCGGCGTAATGGGGGCAGGAGGTGATGGTGCGTGTGACCGTCATGTACTCGGTCCTGGTGGTCATGCTGACGAGGGCGGCGGTGATGGTCGAGTCGGCCGTCTTGGTGATGACGGTGGGGTCAGAGTCCGAGTCCGAGCCGGAGCCGGGGGACTTGGTAGTGGTGGTGGTGGCTGAACCGGAGCCGGTGTGAGACGACTGGGTAGTGGCGGTGGTGGTAGAGCCAGATCCAGGACCAGAACCAGCGCCAGATCCAGATCCGGGGTCAGATCCAGGGGCGGATGTGGTGGTGGCTGGATCAGTCGTGGTGGTCGTCGTCGTAGAGTCGGAACCAGAGCCGGTGCCAGAGTTAGAGGACTCGGTGATGGTGGTGATTGAACCAGAGCCAGCACCAGAGCCAGCGCCAGCGTCATCGTCAGATCCAGAGGCGGACGCGGTGGTGGTGGCGGCGGCGGCGGCGGTGGTGGTCCCAGAGTCGGAGCCAGAGCTAGAGGACTTGGTAGTGGCGGTAGTCATTGAACCGGAGCCAGGGTCAGACGTCTTGGTGGTGGTGGTAGTGGTTGTGGTGATGATGGAACCAGAGTCGGAACCACCGCCACCGCCAGCCTCGGATCCAGAGGCGGAAGTGGTGATGGTGGCGGTATCAGTCTTCGTGATGGAGGTGACACCAGGGAGGGTGACGGTGGGAGTGAAAGACCTAGAGGTCATGGTGTTATTGGACCATGTCACGGTGAGGCTCAGGCTGGTGGCCCTCCTGGTGGAAGTGGACGTCTCGCTGGTGGAGGGGCTGGTCGCCGAGGGACTGGTGGTCGCCGAGGGGCTGGTAGTGGTGGTAACGGGGGTGGCCGAGGTAAGCGAAGGATAGACAGTAGGGGTTGTAGTGGCCGTGCGAGTGGCGGTGGTGGTCGTGGTCGGCTCCGGGGTTGTGTACGTAGCGGTGGGAGTGCTGGTCGTCGTGGTGGGAGTGCTGGGGATATCGTCGCAGCCGTACTGGAGGGCGTCGAGGGCAGCCTGGTTGTAGGTCTTGCCATCCTCGACATTGTCGGCGCCGCGGCTGAGGTCCCACAGGGAGAGGCCACCAAAGTGCGCCCTGTCCGAGTACTCGCAAACCAGATCCTTCATGGCCTCGGGAGTCATGTAGCCGGAGCCGGCGGAGTCGGAGCTGGCGGGCAGACCGATGTAAAGCTTCGCTCCGGAGCTGGCGCCACGCTTGACCTTGTTCTTGTAAACGGTCGTGGTGTCGCTCTGGGAGATGACGTCCTCCCAGTCGTCGTAGTTGAAGGCCTCGCCGGGCAGTCCACTGTCGACGGCGTCGCAGTAGGGGTTGTTGTAGAACTGGATGAAGAGCGCGTCGAAGGCGACCTGCTGGATCATGTCCTTCATGTAGAAGTAGGTGTCGCTCGTGGGGCACTGAGGGGCACCGGTGATGAGGATGGAAGAGTCCAGGGTACGCAGCCTGTTTATCATGGCAATGTACGGGCCATTGTCTGCGCGGCTCGTGTTAGTTGGGTATCCTTCTTGATTATCGGTCCATAGTGGAATAATGATGTGAGATGGTTGGGGGAGGGTTGTATCCTTACCAAAGCTGGCTTCAATGTCAAAGTCGAATCCGTCGACGGAAGTGTGCTCAGTGTCGCTGGTATCAAAGGGACGGGGGCCAGTCCAGCTCTCATCGTAAGGGCCGAAGGCGCTGTAGAGGAATTCGGCAAAGGACTCGCCATCATCGTCGGTCGTCACCTCATAGTTGCTGGTGGAACTGTACTCTCCACCGATGCTGAGCAGGATCTTGACGCCCTTCTCCTTGCAGTAGGGGATATCCTGCTTCATCCAGTAGCAGTTGCTGAGCAGAGACGACTCAACTCCCTCATCGTTGTCGTAATAGCCAGCCCAGCAGTGTCCAGCAAAGTTGGTGCCTGGGTAGCCCGAGGGATCATTCTCGGGAGACTTGTTGACGAAGGAGAGGGTGATGTACTCAACACCCGTGTCACAGTATGTGCGGAGACGGTCTGAACCATCTTGTCCCTGCACAGCACCAAACTTGTGTGTTAGAACCAAGGACGAGACATGTCTTGTGTAAGGGAGAGAAGAATATCAAAAACATACCCAGTAACCATTAAGACCACCATAAGTGCTAACAGAGCGGGCGGCAGCCATGGAAAGCGACATTTCTTTTTGTAAAAGGAAAAAAAGGATGTGTTTTTTTTGGTCGATTTTCTGTTCCGTTCTTTCCCTTTTCTTACTTTTTCTTTCCTTACCTCCTTGCCTGTCTATCTGCCTTCTCCTCCTGAAATTTGGAGTTCTTTGGGGAACGAATGGAAGGGGCCGAAGCCTGGATAAAAGCGAGTGAAGTGGCTGGTAACAATCCTGAAAGAATGAACGCAGGACAAAAATGTCTGCTAGTCGCGTCTCCGTAATATGGTGCTACGAAGAAGGAAAGAATGAAGGAGTTGAAAGCGAAGAAGGGGGGAAGATAAAAAAAAAGGGGGGGGGGGAGGGTATGCTATTTTGCCTCTTCCGGGGCAATGACACGGATCATCCAGTCTACCAGCGGTCAGGCAGATGGGACAGGATCAGTAACAAGACCATCAACGGTCACTAGCCTCTATGTAGGCATGAGAGGTATGGTGAAGTGAACCACGGTGCGTCAGGGCCCGGTCCGGCGACTTCCCGTTCGAGACGAGGCAGACCATAGCACCATTTAGGAGAGCATCGACGGACACGACGACACAGCGACGCCACCAAAGGGCACGGAGTCATGGTCCCGTGCATGAACGGCAATCTCCTATATCGCCTCTCTCCCAGGCACCAGAGGCGTGCAAGGAGAGAACGGTGCTTACTGTAAGCCTGGAAGCGTGACATGGTAGCTGATCTGGTGTGGGAGGAACGTGTGCGAGCGAGGCGGGTGGTCTAGATGCAGGGCTAGCAAACGACGCCAATTCGTCTGGGAACGAAGGCCGAGAGTTTATTGCGTGCCGTTGGCGCCGACTTTGCCAGCATGTCGGGGGACTGTAAGAATCACGAGCGGGGCGATCGAAGTCTCTTGAAGAGGATGGGTATTGCCTGGTAGAGACATAAAACCGTTCTCTCCCGTCCCATTCTGTCTCATTTCAATTCCTGCCGAACATGTAGTGGACTGAGGGGTAAAGACAGCCTGTGGGAGGAGTCGAGATGTCGAACGGTGACATTCATTCTACCTGGACAAGTAAGAGGCGTCATCGTAGGTTAAAGCTCCAGGTGCAGGCGCATACGGCTTGATGGGGATTGTGCCTGCGCGGCTGTGTGCCGTCGTCGCTGTGCTGATCAAGGCACTTACTGGTAGTCAGAGTGGTGATGGGAACAAGAGTGACAACGGATTGTGGATGCGCGTGTTGGTGGATATCAGCAGGGGTAAATTACGGAGCAATATCTACTACGAGTGGGTCAGGACTCGATAAGTCAGCAAGGACCTGCCTATATATATATATATATATATATATATATGTAGGTAATATAATACAACCCACAGACGTGCCCAAATAATAGGCTACTATGGGTAGCTACTAATAGCTGAGAGGGGCAGCGAGGGGCAGCGAGGGGCAACTGGGGGCTAGATCTCCATCGACCAGCCGATAGCTGCAGGGGTTCCCCTCTACTGATAATATTGATGGACAGTGCCTACTCGTACATGTAGCGACCTAGCCTGGCGGACAACCTCCATCGATTGACAATACCAATACTGCTACAGCCTATGGTACCCCGTAATAATGCAGGTCGGTGAGCACTGACCACTGAGCAGGGGAGACTCTGAGGCGGCAGGATACGGCGGAAATACCGGTGGAAATACAAGGCATTAGCAATATTGTCGGATTGTAGAAAGGTGCTGCCCAGTTCCTGCCGTTTCCAAGGCTGACGACTTGAATATAGAAGCACGAGAGCGGATCTCGGCTGTTTCCTAATTTGGTATTACTTGTCTTGACCAACATTATTTGCATGAACTAGCCAGCGCCACTGTCCCTGAGTTCCTTCCGTTTCTTCTTCATCTTTCCCTCCCTTTTTTTCCCCCTTTCTTTTTCCGTATGGTCACAATATACGACGTACGCAAGGGTGCGAGTTGGTAAAACCGGCAACAACCCATCAGCCAGCCCTTAGGCATCTAGACCGGATTACACCCTACAACGAGCAGTGAATCGTAATCACAGAAGTAGCAGTATTGCTATCATTTCTGAGACACCAGCACCAGTAGAAACCGCCTAGGCCATCCATCGAACCACCTTTGAACTGCCCCTAGGACCTGGCGGTTATCGTTACGTTCCGACGCATGACGACGTACCTTTCCTGGTCAGATCAGCCATCAGCCTTGCCATGGCATGTCATTACTCGCTAAATACGTGGTTGGCTATAATATCGATACGTCGTATTTACCGCAACTTATGTCAATTGCCGTCACTGCTGTGAGCCTAACACACTCGGTCACTAGTATTACCGGACAGTTCCAAGTTCCAACTGATGACAATGACCCGGAGAGTCATTAATCCTCTGAGTCGTCTCTCGGTACCTTCCGAAACACACGTGGAAGCCTCGCCACCAAAAAAAAATTCTACTCCCTGTTTCTCGGCATGTACATACCGCATGAACATCTCTCCTTTTCTTCATCCAATTTCTCCATCTGATGAATTGAGGCCTATTCTCCTATTCTCTGAAAGGGGATTCTTCAGTCTCTCCCTTATGCTTGCATGCCTAGAGATAGGATGTGTTGGACATGATCGTGCCTCCAGCACGTCAACCCTGTAAGTGTGAAGTCATGGAGTACCAGGGCCGGCTTAGTTCAATTTTCCCTCAGCCATTGGCCGTGTCGCCACCGACGATACCAAGTTGCCCGTCTACTGGTATGTGGCCTTAAAGAGGCCTTGCATTGAAGTCGTGAGCACTCATGCAACAGCTAGCTGTGGCTGGTTCGGTACAGGGCGGGTTGGTGCCGCGGGGAAACAGGCCGTCATTGAGTCATTGACAGAGACTGAATACAGGTCCCAGGAACCACCCTCACCCCAACGATTTCCATGCACGGTAGTTTCCGTACGGAAGTTTCTGCAGCGGCATGCACACGTCCTAGGGCTTTCCTGGGTAGAGCACATACGTGTACCGAGACTGCAGCAGTAGTGATACGCTGCAGAATAGTCGGATGGAAACTAGGTTGTACAAGCAGCATGTTTCCCGTACACGATGTCACGTCTTTCCGTCCAGGCCGTGTACCTGTATATATAGCCCTATTCTTCCGTTATTGAGTTCCAATTTCATATTTTCAGATGACGCCAGTCCAGCCAATTTCCCCGGTCCAAGGTGCATGCATGTGCATCTACAACAGCACAGCACGAGATCGACGATTCCATCTAAGCTGTGTCCAGTACAATGACCTCGGCCTCCGCTTCTCCGATGCTCTGAATAGCCAACTTGTCACCGGCATTGACCTTTTCCACAAACGCACCGTCTCCCTCGCCCAGTTCCGCTTCCTCCCTCCCGTCGATCCTGATCTTAGCCTTCCCACCCTTGGTCATGACGAGGTGAACGTACACCTTCCTCTTGGGCGCCAGCCCGGCCTCGGCACCAACAAGCCACTCAAACCCGCCCCCGGGGGCGATGATACCCGCGCCCATGACGAAGTCGGCATGGATGGGTATCGTGTCGGGCAGCGTGGGCTGAGCCTCGGCCTCCTGCTGGGCCGTGGCATCCTCCCCGGCCTTGAGGGGGCTGAGGATAGGCACGAACCGCTCCCGCTTGGCCTGCTCGTCAAAGTGCCGGGTGTGGTAACGCGGCTTCAGGCCGTTCTTCCAGGGCACGGCCCAGATCTGCAGGAAGTGCACCGTGTCGGAGCGGTGCTCGTTGAACTCGGAATGAGCGATGCCCGTCCCGCCCGTGGTGAACTGCACGTCCCCCCGGCGCATGCGGTAGAACTTGTCAGTCTGGGTCTGACCCTCGCTGCCCTTGGCCAGCATGGAGTCGCGGTGCGTCAGCTCCCCGGACAGGATGTAGCTGAAGATCTCGAAGTTGCGGTGCGGGTGCGTCGGGAACCCGGTCTGGGCCTTGACGCGGTCCTCGTTGAGCACGCGCAGGGCGCCGAAGTGGGTGAAGTCGGGGTGGTACCATCCTGCAAAGGAGAAGCTGTGGTACGTGTTAAGCCAGCCGTGGTCGGCGTGGCCACGGTCGCTGGACCGGTGGGGCTTGATGCTTGCTGTGCGGAGTGAGCTGTTCATTGTTCTGACCGCTCTGCTCATGAGGCCTTGTTCTTCAGCGATGCTGTTATGGTTGTTGCCGGAGGTGTCTGTGTTCGTGCGAGCAGTAATAGTGGTGATGATGCTGGTGGATGGCTTGATAAAAAAGTGTGTTACTGCCGAGATGAATACGGCCAGCAGGGCAGATGCCAGAACGAGGCGGTTCATATATATCCTAAACATACGAAGCAATTCGGCAGGTAGGAATGAGGTGCTGCTGACCCATTGTTGAATAATTGTTATATATATCGATACATGGCAGCCTCATACGCAGGGTACCTGGCCGGAAATGGGAGATGATTCTTCAGCGTCACATAATGCTGACAATATCCAGATGCCGGGAGGGACAGCCAATTGTCGAACAGCAAAATATAAGGGCTTTAGCGCCAAACCTGTTTTGCGTATCCACATGTCATTCTCAGGCCCTCTAAGCACCTAGGTAATCACCCGTAACAGTTCTGTTGAGCTGTTCACGACAATTTCTATACTAACAGTGCTACTAGGTAATCATACATGTGAATGCCAACCAATGTTAGCAATACGATTATCCATACTGGTATTAGTGACGTCGTACGATCAAAATGCTGGTCCTACCCATGTTGCGTGGCTTATACCTATTAATATCGAATTGTATCTTCGTGGCGGTAATAATAGGTGCCATGGCTCGTAGAATAGTGGTGGCACAGACGGGGAAATTGGTGTTAGCATAGCACAGGCTATCATATGTATTATTACAGCATAATACCCCTGAGCCCCCGATAAGGTACGATAAGCAGAGCCTAGCACAGGCTGCACAGCTGCACAGGACATCCATGCCCCCAGCTTTCCCCCCCTCCCTTGCGCGGTAGAATCAGGGGGGGGGGAGGAATGGCCCACTGAGCTCTATCCCACGAGATCACGGTCTGGGGTTCACGAATGATAACGCTGATATGAATGAGAGGACTTTTGGGGATCAATCGAGCGCATGCAGACGTCAATGGCACGATCGGGTCATTTCTAGTACAGTTTTGGGTGGTCACTGCCCAACATTGACAATATGAGAGTACTGTACTCGCGCACTCTTACTCGTAGTCAACGTACACCCACGTACACCCACTGTACTGGGAGAGGGGACAGAAGGTGAGAGAGAGCTTCTTAGTTTTATCGTCGTGTATCGTTGCCATTGGTATGGCGGTGTGCCGCGGAGGGCGGGGACCCAGTATACCACCACCAAGTACGGGACACGGTTGTGCTATGAACACGGTGGACTCAGGCAAACGCAATTTTCGAGCCCTTTCAAAAAGAAAAAGAAACACCAACGTAAACCGATTCTAGTAGGGTTCCTCTCTTCTTACCCCCCTCTCTCCCCCGATCAAAACGTACACATACACACAAGCCGAAATTTCAATTTGTGTAAAAGACGTACGTACGTCGCCAGCAAACCCGAAAATGGCGCCCGAGCCACAGCTGGAGAGTGATATTCACTTCATCGAGACCCCGCCGGCAAAGCCGAGCAAGTTTTCCACGGGTCAGGACTGCGGTGTCCCCGTCACCGACGTGAGTACCTCCCCTCTTAGTTTTCTGAGCAGTCCTTCGAGACTGCCATCTTGGCTGCATCCCCTCAGAGCACGCAGCAGGTCGATGTCCTGCTTTGCAAGAGAAGACTTGCGTGTTTGCCTATGTTGACGTTGATTGCCCTGTCCTGTAGTTCCCCACCATCAGCAACTCTCCCCTCCCGGCTGAAGGTGCTGGCGCCGAGAGCTTCTCCAACATCCTCCTCGGCATCGTCCTCTTCGGTGTGCCCTACCTTCTGTCGCGCCTGGTTGGAGGCGGCATCAAGACGACAATCTTCTTCGCCATCTTCACGCTGATCCCGACGCTCATCGCCTTCTGGGCCTACACCTCTCGCTTCAGTCCTCGCGTCAACGACGCCGTCAAGCTTCCCGGCCGCCCCATCGAAGAATATGTCACCTTCAAGGACGCTGCCGACAAGGCCAAGTACAGCGGCCGCACCAAGGTGCCCATCCAGACCTTTTCCGAGATGTACATTGAGGGCAAGGCCGACTTCAACGGCGACACGCTGGACGTGATGGAGTACCGCCACGACTGGTCTTCCTTCGCCTTCACCGTCGACCTGTTCAAGTACATCTTCTTCACCTTCGGTCCCGACGTGCTCTTCCACTCGCGCGAGCAGGACATGGAGCAGATCCGCCCCAACTACGACTCCGGAAACGACCACTACGGCTGGTTCCTCGGCCCCCGCATGATCTACACCAGCGGTATCATCTCCGACCCCACCCGCGAGGAGACCCTCGAGGAGCTCCAGGACAACAAGATGGCCGTCGTCTGCGAGAAGCTCGACCTCAAGGAGGGCGAGACCATGCTCGACATCGGCTGCGGGTGGGGTACCCTCGCCAAGTTTGCCAGCGTCAACTACGGTGCCCGCGTCACCGGCCTCACCATTGCCGAGAACGGTGCCGCCTACGCCACCGATCAACTCCGCCGCGCCGGCATCCCCGAGGAGCAGAGCCAGATCCTGTGCATGGACTACCGCGATGCCCCCAAGAAGAAGTACAACAAGATCTCCCAGCTTGAGATGGGCGAGCACGTCGGCGTCCGCAAGCTCACCGGCTTCTTCCGTCAGTGCTACGACATGCTTGAGGATGACGGTGCCATGTACGTCCAGCTGTCCGGTCTCCGCCAGGCCTGGCAGTACGAGGACTTCATCTGGGGTCTCTTCCTGAACAAGTACATCTTCCGTGGTGCCGATGCTTCCACCCCGCTCTGGAACTATGTCAGCTCTCTTGAGCATGCTGGCTTCGAGATCAAAAGGTAAGGGAGAAGAGCCCCATGCTAGCATCCCCCCTCGAACTCTGAAATCTCGGACTGACAGCCAACAGCGTCGACACCGTCGGTGTTCACTACTCTGCTACCCTCTGGAGGTGGTACCGGAACTGGGTCGGCAACCGCGACACCGTCACCGCCAAGTTTGGCCAGCGATGGTACAGGGTGAGTCTACACGCGATGCATACATACCCCCTCTCTCTATCTGATCAGTGGCTGATAAAGATCATTTCCCGACTCAGATCTGGGAGCTCTTCCTCGCCTGGTCCGTCATCGCCTCCCGCCAGGGTAGCGCCACCTGCTTCCAGATCCTTGTCGTCAAGAACCTCAACAGCACCCACCGTATCAACGGCATCAAGTCGCAGTTTGGCCTCAGCGGAGCCCTGGCTGCCAGCAAGGCTGCTGGCAAGTCGTCTCTGGCCAAGTAAGCTGTTGTGGGTCTTGCCTCCCCACCGATTGTTTGTGTGTGCATACTGTTAGCTCCGAGCATGACTATGATGCCACGGTATGATGTGTAGTCGTATGACTGCGCAAGCGGTATGACGACGGGGCATTTCGTCAGAAGAAGGGGAAAAGAAATCCCGCCAAGGTGGGTGACTCGGTCTCATCTCTCGATCGAATCGAGTGAGGTGACGAGAGAGGGGTGACGAGAGAGGGGAGGATATTAATGATGAGAGGGAGCGGTTAGGTTGCGCAGGGTTATATGTAACCTGTCATGCGCAACCCGAGAGTGATTAGATGAGAATAGACAGACGGCATGGCATGTACATGTAGTCCCACGGCAAAAGGGCCTGGGGCTAGACAAACCGACACTGTCAGGGCAGAGAGTATTATTATCATAGGAGCGGTATGTACGTATACGAGTTCTCAAGGGCAGCCGCCTTTGCCCCTGGTCCCTAGCCAGCATCTGCGACTTCTTTCCCCTTGAGTAAGTAGGAGGCCCGAACGTGTGACAGCGGTCCCGCTTCCGAGGGACGGCAATACGGTGACGGCGCCAATACATGTGATACTCGTATGTCGGATGTGCGCGTGGAGCCTGTTCGAAATACGAAGGGACCCCAGCCATCAGCCACCAGCCACCCGATAAAAGATGGGCTCTGAACCACGCGTTTCGGGGAAAGGGACTCAAAAGTGGGTAATATGTGGCGCTCCTTTTTGCCAGCTGGCGGGGACCCCTGACAGCAGACCGGTTGGGCTTAGCGTGTGTGTTAGGTAATATAATAATGCTCCGTATGTATCGTACTCGTAATATTACTGTAGTGGAAGCAGTGCTGTATTACTTGTACAGTAGGTATCTAATGCGGATTACTCGTAGGCTATAATAGCAGCGCTCAATTGTTTGGCACACAAGGAAAGTTTAGCAACGCTGTCTAAAAAGCGGGTAGCACCTTCCTTCCCACGATGGAAGCATTCCAGCGCATAGAGAATGGTCAGACAACTTCAACGCTTGAATATTCAACATCAACAATCTCATGATGCTTCACCAAATGATACATCTACAGATATTCATCTTCGCCATCTTCTTCACACCAACTTTTGGGCTGTCCCTGGGGCCCCCCTGCATCCCTCCGCCATGACCCTTGTCCGTAACCCCTGCAACGGGCCGTCACATCGGTGGCTGGGATTTGGCCTGAGCTTCAACTTTTCTTGCGTCCAGCCTTCAATATTGGGCTCACATGGGCCAGCCCTCGGTTTCCGCAGACGCTTTTTAATGGACGGCCACCCAAAAAAAAAAAAAAAAACACACAATCTCACCTTTCTTCTGTCCTGTCTTGCATCGTGCCCACCACCTCCATTAATCGTGGTCGGCTATTATAATACTTGCTTTTGCATACGGTATCTGTACATGCAGACGGGAAGAGCTTACAGTAAGGGCATACAGTCTCAAAGGATCAGTCAGCGAGCATGAACTCGAATTCTTACAGCACCGCCCCGAGTACGTCCTCTCTCTTTTCTTCTTATTCCTCATGTCATATAATAAACGATGCTGACCCAATTATAGCTGGGGCGGACTCTTATCGGTACAACCACATCAACCACCACGACACTCACACTCAGCCTGCACCTAAACCCTCATCATCACGATACCAGCGGAGTAGACACCATTCAGCAGACAGCAGCGTCTCGGAAACCGAGCAGCAACAGTCGCTACTGCAGAACAGCTACGAGAATCCTTCTTCTTCTGCTCAGCCCAACCACAACTCGGCTCCCTCGCCCGCCGTCCGCTTCAACGAGGCACAGCTCGCCATGTTCTCGGCCCAGAGCGCCCCCATGGCCGGCCTCAAGGACGAGCTCACCCTCGCCGCCGGCAAGGTCACGCCGGGAGTCGACGACACCCCTCACATCCAGTACGCCATTGACGCCCTCACTGGTAGGCGTCGCGGTGACGACGACGAATACGACGAGCTGGACCTTCAGGATGCCGCCTTGGGCCGCCAGCAGCAGCGGCGGCGACGCTTCCAAAACTTCCAGCCTGCCGGAGAATACCAGCCCGTCGATCAGGCAGTCACCCACCCCGACTCCCCGCTTCGACAGCTTCCTCCCCTCACCCGCGAACGCACCCCGACCACGAGCCACCCGCCGCCCCTCGTGATGCCCGAGACGGTGTACGGCAGCCCCAACCGCATCGGCCACCGCGCCAGCATCAGCGAAACGACCTCCCTGCCACGCACCCCCGTGTCGCAGGACGAGCGCTTCCGCCCTCTGTCACCCGTGTCGACGCGCATCATCACCCCCTTCTTCCCCGCCGAACAGGGCGAGGGTGAGTACCAGCAGCATAGCCAGCAGTCTCTCCCGCAGCCCATCGCCGGCCCCTTCACCCGCTCCGTACCTGCCCGCGCCGGCCCGGACATGTGGGTCCCTGTCACCCGTAACATGCGTGACAACTTCTACCCCAGCGAGGCCGCATACCCTCCCCTGACGTACAAGCCGCGCCTCCTCCGCCCTTACTCCTTCATCTTCTTCATCTTGCTGTGCCTGGCCATGGTGGCCTGCCTGATCACGGCGACCCTCTACTCCAACAGCCACGATGGGCTCACCCCTTACAGCGGCACCATCTACTCGGGCACCTACTTCCTCTTCCGCATCCTGCCGCAGCTCGTGGCCGCCCTGATCCTGGTGTATGCGCAGGCCGTTGCCATCACGTCGCAGCGCATCCTCCCCTTCGCCAGCATGGCCAGCGAGGACGCGCGCGACCGGTACCTGTCGCTGTTCCGCAACCTGTACCCGTCTAGCCTTCTGTGGCCCCGGGGCGTCTCCTCGGGCCCCTGGCAGGCCGCCGTCTTCAGCGTGGTCTCGTGGCTCGCCCTGTTCACCGTGCCGCTAGCCAGCTCGCTCTTCACCTGCATCCTCGACGGCGAGGTGTGGACGTGGGCGCCAGTAAGGGGCATCGCCTGGACGCTGGTGGGGCTGTACGCCGTCATGGCCGTTGCCGGTGCGGTGCTCATGGCCTTCTGGCTGCGCAGGTGGACGGGCCTCATGTGGGACCCGCGCTCCATCGCCGACGTCGTCACCCTGCTCAACCGCAGCAACACGACGGACGGGTACGCGGCCGCCGACGGTGCCTCCACGACACGCTCCCTGCGCGACCTCCTCCCCTCCCGCTGGCTGGACCGCCTGGGCTACTGGCGCACCGACGGCGACCACACCGGCAGCATCTGGTACGGCATCGGCACCCCGGGCACCTTTGGCGACCGCGAGGCCCACCTGGTCAGCGAGCTCATGGGCAAGCGCATCAGCCACAACACCTCCTCGTCCATCGCGTCCGACGACGTGCCGAGCACGGGCGCCTACGCCCGGAGCTACGAACACCTCCCCGGCTTCCTGCGCACGGGGCCCATCCTGGTCTTTGCCGCCACCTCGGGCGTCCTGCTTGTGGGTCTGATGGTGGTGTCGTTCCTGCCCCAGACGCAGCTGGACAGGGGCTTCCTCCCCAAGCTGTCGGCCAAGCCGGTGCAGCCGGGTGCATTCTCGGCGGCCAACTTCCTGTACAGCTTCGTCCCGTCGCTGCTGGGCATCGTGCTCTTCCTGCTGATCCAGAGCCTGGACCAGGCGGTGCGCGTGGTGCAGCCGTGGGCCGAGCTGACCAGCCCGTTGGGCGGCGTGGCGCGCAAGTCCATCCTGGCCGAGTACGCGGCGTGCTGCCACCCGCTCGAGGCGACGTGGCGGTCGGCGCGCGTGGGCCACTGGCGCGTCACGGTGCTGTCCCTCGTGGCCTCGCTGTCGGTGGGCATCCCCGTCCTCGCAGGCGGCCTGTTCATGGCCCTGACCACGGGCTCCGGCCGTGTCCGCATGTTCCCCAACATCCCCGTGTACGGCGTCCTGCTGGCCCTGCTGTTTCTCTACGTCGGCAGCGTGACCATGATGGTGCCTCGGAGGGACGGCTTCCGCCTCCCCCACGCCGTCACCTGCATTGCCGGCCTGGTCAGCCTGTGCACGGCCGACGAGCTCACGCGCGACGCCGCCTTCCGGTCCGTCCGCTCCCGCGCCGACCTAGAGGCCCGTCTGGGCGTCGACAGGGATGCCGACCTGCGCGAGGAGAGCGTCTGGTGCTTTGGTGTCGTGCCGGGCAGAGACGAGCAGAGGCTGAGCGTCAGGAGGCTACGACGGTTCACCGAGAAGATGCCGCTGTATAGGGATCATGCTACTTCCATGGTCTGATCATGTCCCTTTCTCCCCTACACGACGACACAACGACGACGACCATGTTTTATAAACGATTACCTCTTTTTTCTTTTTCTTTCACGCCCGGTTACCATGATGATGACGATATATAACGCGTCTTACACTACATGATCTGCTCGACACAACACAACGAACGGTACAAATGTATACTACGACTTTTTTTCTTCTATATATACGGTGTTTGGATTTGGGATATCAGCATTATTAGCGTTTTTCTTTTCCTTCAGGATGGCTAGCATGATGTGAACATGTTTTCAAGCATGACACACTTGGTTTCTTTTTTTCTCAACTTCTTCTCCATATGGGAACACATTTTAGATGAGGCCAATATAGCATAGAACGGTCAACACGGACCATGATAATCCATCATTCTGTATCTGGTGCGGATCTTTCAAACACATCAAGGCAGCACTTTTCTGCCCTCTTTTTTTTTCCTCTCTCGGTTGAAGCAAGACCAGAAGTCAGTCATTGGCCGATGATAGATCGGGAGTCCAAAGGAAAGGAACCTAAAAGGACAGAACATATATCAATAGTCATATGTTAATAGTTGTTTGCATCAGGCTGCCAAATGCGGCCGGAAGAAGGGATAACCCGGTACCGGGGTTGTTGCCTCAGGATGACTTGGCAAGCATATATGTTACTATCACGAAGAGAGTCATCCTAGAAAACAATACAACTATCGATCATCACAACCGCAAAGGCTCTTCTTGAAGAAGGAGCTGATGCACCTGTGATATCGTACGGTGAAGATAMAGGAAGAAAAGACGATACCAACAATAGTACATGGAGGACATGAGAGGGATCATGATAGCACACGCCCATTGTTTTTACCTTCATATCTCCTTTGCACAGGATTCGTGGGCATCTAACTGTCTTCCTTGCCCGTATAGGTATTACATGTTTCAAGAATTGAGTGTTTTTTTTTTAAAAAAAAAAAAAATATAGCAGAACGGAATGTAGTGCAGAGACGCGTCTCGAGCTCCTAGATCTGATCTTTTTTTTTAACTTCCCCCCCAAGTCCCAGGACATCCCGGTAACCATGAGAGAAGTGACATTACTCGTACGGACAATACGTGGAATGCTCCCGGGGGGGGGGGGGACAGCATGTGGGAAAGTAGAGTTACCGAGGGGAGAGTGAGAGTAGCAACCCGTTTGTCTCGGGTCATAACAAAAGTTCAAGGCCTCCCTCCCTTAGACAAGATTTTCGAATAATACTACCGGGGGGTTCAGGGAGAGACAGGTATGCAAAGATGGGCTCGCCTTGTTTTGATTCACCCGCTCCAGTAAACAAACCATCGGCTTGGTTGGACGGGCATCGTGGACGCCGTCAAAGTTTACTCGTATCCTCTTCAGCAGAATAGACAAGATGGTGAGGAAGGAAATGGTGAAGCGTAAAGTTCAATGATACAATATACACGAATAAGTCCTGTTGATCCCATCGTCGAAAGGGGGATAATACACAGTAGGAAGAAAACAACATGACATTAAAAAGAGGGTTTTCAAGACTCCCCCCATTCGTGCACGATCTTTTACTAGTTTGAAGAGTTGTGAAAGAAGAAGAATAAATAAAAACAGAGCAGAAATTTTGACGTAGAGTCATGGTCGAGTTGGTCGTGTAAATGATTTTTGCGAGAAAAATGAGTGTCGGGGTCGGGGGGGTTGCGACATTAAGCATTAAACAAGACAGAAATGCGTAAAAAAAGAAATAAAAAAAATGAGCGTATGCGTCTTTGTGCCAAAGAAAGAAAGTTTTTTGAGAAGGTGTGTGTGTGAGTGTGTGTGTGTCTATGAGAGAAATGAGAGAATCAGAATCAACGACTGCGACGTCCAAGCATACGACCAAAGACATCAGCGCCAGAACGCTTCTTGTCAGCAGTACTGTTGGTGGTAGTGGCAGACGAGCCAGCACCAGGACCGGGAGCCATGAGGCCCCTCGTAGGCGAGGGGGTAGTGAGGCCGCGACGCCTACCGCGAAGGTCAATGTCAGGCTGGGAGTGCTGGCGCGAGACCCTCCGCACGTCACTGGTAGCGCGCTTGTGGAAGCGGAAGAATGACCGACCGCCTCCGTCGTCGTCCGAGTCGTCCTCGAAGACGGACTGCGGCTCGGGGGAGGGCGTGATACCCGCACAATGCTGCTGGCTCGACCTCTGTCTCCGCTGCTGCTGCTGCTGCGGCGGCGGCGGCGGCATAGTAGCCGGCGACAGCTGACCCGTTGTGGTGGCGGATTCGAACGGCGTAGGGGGGCGGTCGGACACGGACGTCTTGGGTCTGTGCTGCTGCCGGTACTGCTGGTGCTTCATCTCTATCGAGTCGAGGCGGCAAAGAGTCTTGGAACTCTTGGGACGACGAAGCAGGAGAGCGGCAGCGGCGCTACCGCCACTGCCGTTACCGTTGCTGCCGGCACTGCTGGACTGGTGATGCTGATGCTGCGCCTTCGACGAAGGCTGGCTCTCCGCTGTGTCGGGACGGGGATGACCGCCGCCGCCGCCGCCGCCGCCGTCGCCGTCGCCGCCGTGAGATGTCTTGGGGCGGGCCATCTCCCCCGAGACCTGGACGGGACGGATAGACGCGGCCGACTTCATGGACCGGAGGTTACGGTCCGGCTTGTCGGAACAAGGTGGAGGAGGAGGCGGCGGAGGGATATAGTCCGCCAGCGAGGGCTTGGACTTCTTCTGGCGCAGCTGGGTCTTCATCTCACGGTGGTGCTGCTCGAGGAGGATCTTCTCCTGGCGGAGCTGCTGGCCCACGTCGCGCCGGTCCTGGCGGTCCTGCTGCTCCTTCTGGGCCTTTCTCTGGGCGCGCATGCGCTGCTCGTGCTCCTTCTGGCGCTGCATCTGGATGTGAGAGTGCAGCTGCTCCTGCACCTGCTCCTCCGACTCGAGGGTCTGGCCGTGACGGTAACCCATGTACCGCTCCGACAGGGGGCTGGTGATCAGCAGGTCGGCCACGTGGGACGAGAGGTGCGTCGAGGTCATGTTGGACGAAGATGACGACGACGACGACGGCTCATGCTGCTTGAGGCACGGTGAGAGGAGGAGCCTCTCGTCCGGACGGGGTGGGCGCGGAGGCTTCTGGGGAGGCTGGGGACGAGAGCTCTCCCATGACGGCGTGATGGGCTTGCGGGCCGTGGGGATGGCTAGAGGCTTGGGGAAGGGAGGGTAGTTTGCTGCAGGGAGACGGGCGCGGGAAGAAGGAGGAGAAGACGAGGACGAGGACGAGGACGAGGATCCGTTGCCGGAGCTGCGTGACGACGGCCTCTCCGCCGCCGCGGGACGGTGGGGCGTGATATCGGTCTGGGCACGGTGACGCTGGTGCTGCTGCGGAGAGGGGATCAGGGCAGGATACTGCTTGCGAGGGTGGGCGAGAGCCTGGCCGGCTCCGCCGTCCACCTTGACGGCGACGGTCAGGCCGTGTCGGTCTCCGGCGCTCTTGGCGGGTGAGTCGGTGCGGCCGCTGCCGATGCCGCCACACATGTCCTTCTTCGCAGGGTCGACGTCGTGGCCGCGCTTCTGGTCATCCGGACGCCAGAAGCTGTCCCACAGCTGAGCGGTGTGCGCGTGGTACTGGTAGTCTTCGTCTCCCGAGACCTCGGAGTCGGTCTTGTCATCTATAAGTCCTGGTGTGGAGGCTTCTGATCCCAAGGATGAACGGTCCTTGTTGCCGCCGCCGACGCTGCTGCCATTTCTGTGGCTATTGTATCCAACATTGTTTGTTGTCGTGGTTTTGTTTGCCTTTGAAGTGTTGCTGCTGTTGCTGTTGTTGCTGCTGTCTGATGGATGGGGATAGTTTCCGACTGGGTAATACTTTGACACGAGGGTCAAGTCGACCAATTTTCCGGAGCGCTCCATGGTAGATGACACGGTTGACAGCGTCTGTCAGGATATCACATGGAGGGGAGATTTGATGATGAGGGCAGTTGATTCCTCTTCCGATCGAGAACAAAGGAAACTCTGGCAAAGGAGAAAAGGGAGGGGAGCTGCGGTATGATATACAAATAATGTCGGGAACTGGGCCTGGAGTCTGTATCCAGTTCTTCCTTTGCTGCCACTCGCTCTTCCTGATCTGGCCGTCGTCTGAGACACAAACTTGACCACACCCACTTCTGGGTCGCCTTCTCTTCTGTCAAGCTACACATACACACAAGGGTGAGTGGATGGTGTGATGAGGTGTGTGTATGTGTGTGTGTCTCGTTAGTGACAGAAACTTGTCTCGTTCCCACCCCCCCCCCCCTCCATTCTTCTTTTTCTCTCCCGTTCTCCACATCCATCTTCCGTAGCTCCCTGGTTTGTAGAAGAAGAGCATGTATTGTGTGTGTGGGATAGTAAAGAAGGGTGTGTGTGTGAGGTAGGAGGGTGTGTGTGTGTGTGTGTGTGAGAGAGAGAGAGAGAGAAGGAGACATTCCTATGCCGAGGGGCTCAAGGGCGTAAACAATCTCCACCTTGATTTTGGTCTGGAGCGTTGCAGTACTTGCTTCTCCTGCTTCTCTCCCCCCTCAACTGGCATGCAGGAGGAGGTTGGTGTAAGTCCAGGCCGCACCAACATATGACTCTTCTTCCTCTGATTACGAGAGTAGTATATGGTACGAGTAATAATACTATAGCTCGCATGACTTTCATTCCCGTCCACCAGCCGAGATGCCAGAAAGAGCTCTGATCCTTCTCTCTACTGTTTCCTTTTCTATAGTACAGCCTTTGCTTCCGATCTTTGCTCGTGAGTCCATGTCATCATATGTTTTGCTTTCTTTTTTTTCCCTCCCGGACATCTGACAGCAGCTGTGTTTCTCTCTCTTTTCTTCCCTTCACTCTCTTGTCCGACATGTCTTCTATAGTTCCATCCCTCGTATTCTTCCATGATTCCCACCTTGCACTCCGTATTTATTAGACTCTCAGCAGGTTTTCCTTTATATCTCTCTCTTCCTTTACCGTGATAGCAAATGAAAATGGAGAGAAAGAAGGGAAGAAGAAGAAGCAAGGGCAAGAACACGGGCATACACTAAACCCATGTTTGTTGTGGGTTTCCTCTGGTGCAAGGGGGTTGAGAAGAGAACCAGAAAGGGAAGTCCATCACTCCCTTCCTAAGCAGCAAACACAGACTATTACCACTCGTGCATATTGACATGCCTCTATGCATGTTCTACCACCAAGGGATAATATAGGGACAATCCTGTCATATTCTTCTTCCCCTATCCTCACATACGGGCATAGTCGTCCATCATGCTATCCATTCTCTTTCTGTCAGTCGACGGTAGAGGGCCAGGGTGTTGAAACAAGGGGGTGGTAACCCTGGAGACGAGGGGTGAGAGTGTTGGACCTGATTACTATTACATGAGATGATACCGTCGGTCGGAAGAGATCTCATCAGTGATGGTAACAATCCTTCTTTTCTTTCTCTCGGGTGCTACGCATCTCCTCGTAACTGTAAAGGTGCGGACGGCCTGGAATCTTCTGGATTGTGATGCATGTCGAAACAGACATTGCTCACTCCCCAACAACGGGTAGGGAAGGGAAGGACAAAAAAAAAGTGAGAGAAGACAAAAAGAGAATTAAAATAAAAAGGACAGAGTACGCTCACAATTCCAAGGTATTCGGATTTGGAGGAAACTTTACCATGCCTCGAGTCTCCTTCTCTTGCCAATGCTTGCTTGCCTTGCCTCGTGCTGGTCCTCTGGGATCCCGACCGATTAGGGATGCATATTGCATATTGTGGGGTGAGACACGCCTCCGCGTCAGCGGCGGCGCGCGAACCTCTTCTCGCAACTCGTCCCAAAGACATGGGCCCCAAGTCTGGCATGACGGGGTAGAGCTTGTCTGTGTGTGTGTGTGTTTGTGTGTTGTGTGTGATCGGCACTCGGGATTGCCAAGTTGTTTCTGTACCTACGTATGCACGGCAGCACAGCCCGTCCAGAAATAAGAAAACGGCTCGGGAAAGAAAACGAAAAGTGATAGGTAACAACGAGTTGGTGGCTTTTGTTTCCTATTTGCCCGTATCTATGTGTGTGTGTGTGTCTGTGTGTGTTTGCGCTCTCTTTCATCTTCCTGAAATGTACATGTAGGCAAACAAACCGTTTGTCTTGTAAGCAAGCCATGATATGTTATACATCATCATAATCGTCCGTCCTTGTTGCTCTCGTTGTTGTTGCAACTATCAGTTCACTATCATCTCTCTCTCTCCCCCTCTCCCCCTCTCCCTCTCCCTGCTTATCTTCTCTTTGGTTACCTGTACAGATTACAGTAGCAGCGGAGATAGCTTACCACCCCCTTGGGTTCGTCTGTCTGTCTGTCTGCTCTTAGCTTCGTCTCATGATGGATATGTAGTTTGTGGGGAGTGTCATCCGTCGTGGGGACTTGAGATGTGTGAGTGTGAGTGTGTGTGTGCATTACTGCCACTGCTGCTGCTGCTGCTGCTGCTGCTGCTGCTGCTATTACTACGTACTGTTAATACTACTGCTACGACTCTACATCGTGTTCCTTCACCTGGATCACCCGTAGCTGAGACGAGTCACGACAATTTAAGCGCGTCCGAATGTTGCACTGGACGGCGATGCCGCGAGACAGCTGTCTCCGATGGTCGAGGGAGAAGGGACGTATCAGCGGGACCCGACGTATCATCAAGGAAGGGAGACGAGCAAATGAAAGTGAAGAGGAGGAGGAGGAGGAAGAGAGACAACAAATGAATCAAGCGTAGCTGCCGAGATGGTGGACAAGACTCTTTTCCTCTCTACGTATTGCTTCTCTGTCTCTCTGTCTCTCTGTCTCTCTGTCCAGTATCTCTCTGTCCAGTATCTCTCTGTCCAGTATCTCTCTGTCTAGTATCTCGTTGCAGATATGATCGAGTCAGTATATGCAATATTGAGCTATTGCATGGCAATATCCCGTCGCGACTCGTACACACAAACTTTTCTGGTAATATCCGCTCTGCCGTTTCATCATTCCCATCTCATGGTGCATCGATATGTAGTATCATCGATGTGCAGCATCATCGATATGTGGTATCATCGATAACATCTACTCAACAGTCACTAGATGATACTCTGCATTGCTCGTACATTAGTCCCTGCCATCAGTCCCTGTCCGTGTGTTCCCCGTGTACATGTACATGTGCTGATCGGCTGCCCTCCGTGGTGGTCTGTACGTAGAATACGCGTGTGTACATGTACTTATGAAGGCCCCAGCGCGGCGACAGCAGAGTCTGAGATGATGCACTTGTGATTTCTCTGTCACATGCATGCGCATCTGTGCTCTTGTATTCGGCAGACAGGCACGGGGAGAGAAGGAAAGGAGAAGAAGGTAGGAGGACCGTATCCCGTAGACTATAGTGCTGCTGTACTGTATTGTACGACAGTACCAACAAGACTTGCTTCTTCTGCTCTCTCCCCCTCTCTCTCTCTCTCCCTCTCCCTCTCTCCCTCTCTCTCCCCCTCTCTCTCCACTCTCATTCTTCTACTCTTGGGCCATCTTCCATCGGTAAAGACAGAGAACAAGGTTCTGGCCGTTCGCCCTTGCAGTTCGCATCTGATGGTTTGCGCCGACTCCTCTAAACAACCCCCTCCCCCCCCCACACACACACACGCACATCCGAGTAAAAAATATATTTTAAAAAAAAAGTATTAATAAAAAGAAGAAGAAGGAGAAAGAGGAGGGAGGGACACTAAAGAGGCGTTGATGAAACGAGCTCATAGCCGGTCAAAGATGAAGACGATGGAAAGGTAACAATAAAAAGAGAGAAGAAAGAAGAAGAAAAAATAGCCGTCAATACCCTAGAATGTTCCCATCTAGGCCAGGATGGATGTGCATTTTGTATGTGCATTCTGCATATGTGGGGAGGCTGGATGCCCCGTCTCCAGTTCTCGACTCATGGCATATCGATACTCGGCTCGTGTCGTCGGACCGCACAGGCCGACGACGCGGCAGCCAGTGCGCTTACCCTATAGCGGGACATCCAGCTTCTCGGGGTTGGGGTGGAGGACGTTGGAAGATGAATGAATCAATATAGATATATGTATGAACATGTATATGATAGTGCAGGCATGACGACAGGGTAGAGATGAGATCAAACCCATCACAGTCGGTCGTGCCAAACCGCCTAACCGCGGAGCCGAAGATTGGCTGACGATCACAACGGTTGCAGTCATCGTGGCACGCAACAGCTCTCTCAAGCATCGACGGTGGACCAGGCCGTGGCATACATGTACGACAAGTATTCCGGACAGAGGGACCGGGCGGATGACTCGAAAGTGATGACGGTGATGCTGATGAGAGTGATGAGGTGATCATCTGGATTAGCACGGATAGATGGATCTATTCCGACGTTATCTCGGGGAAGAGTAACATCCGACTTCTGCGTGAATCGGGATCGCACTACGGATATATGTGAGGAGCATCGACGATTATTCCTCGCACTCTTCAATCAGGGACAGGACAGGAAAAGGAAGGATCCGGAGGGAAGGACCCGGAGGAAAGAACTGTCCAGGTTTGGTAGAGCTTTGGAGCTTAGACTGTATTCTGTATTATTATTATTAGATAATATCAGCTCAGAGATGATGCTAGAGCAGGTGCGGTTAGTAGGTGTGGCGCCTGCCCTCTACGATATTAATAATATCACTGACAACGCATCATCGGCCTAGGCATAAGCCACGGGCCGTCGACGGCCTCTGCATCGAGCGAGTCGCCATCGTCGATGATAGCGCCCCGCTACCAAGGGTATACGGATTGGTGGTAGTATAGTATCATGGCTGATATACCAGTTAGTCTTGTCAGTATCGTCATATTATTATTAGCAGCTATCAGTTCGAGCAGACGAGTGCGGTAAAAGGAAATAATCACCAGCGATACATACCGTAACTCCTCTCTCCGGTGGAACCCCCC